TTGCCACCGAAGAAACTGGATTGGAATCCAAACTACATACCAACAGACTCCTGGGCGGAAAACAACCCCATCGACATGGATGGAATTCTCTCTCTCTGTATCCAAGATGCACGCAATCGTCAAAGCGCTATAGCGGGTCACACGGCTTGGGGAGGTCATTGCCCGCGCATTCGGGCCGGTCTCCAAGCAAGACGACAGGAGACTGTGTAGTGGCAACGACGAGGCGAATGAAGACCGCCAGGCGAACGACGACCACGAGAAAATTGACGATGACGCGGCGATTGGCGTCGACGATGGAGCTTGGCAGCTTCCGGCTGTCGTAAGTTCATTCTCGTATGCGAGTTTGGCAGACAGACATCGATCCTGTTGATGGATGGGCAGCTCCGGCTGCGGGAAAACAACACCTGCCAGTGGCCAGGACACTACATGGCCTGGCAGTCGCAACATACGAATACCATCTGCTGAAATTCCGGGACAACCTTAGGAAGCCAGAACAGAAGGGTGAATGAGCCCCCCTGAAGAAGGCGCTGTCTGGGTGTGCAGTCTTTTTCTGCACTGTGGATTGGATGAGGCTCAGTATCACCCGCGTGGAGCAGTGCCGATGCATGACAGAATGCAAGTGATGGACCCCCCCGGGCTGGGCCAGCTTTGCAAACGGAGGGCCCTCAGTACAACAGCGACGACATCCTGAAATTCTTGGGGGTGGAGAGGTTGGAATGATGCCGCCTTGCCGAGCATAATTGTTATCATGTCTGTACCAGCTGCTATTATTGCCTAAAGTGCAAATGAAAAAAAGTCAAGGTCATGAATATCAAAGTAAAGTAAAGAATAGATACATATACCACGGCGTACTTGGTACACGTACACCTATAAGAAGTACCTAGTCCTGGAGCGTGCCTAACCACATGCTTGGTAGGTAAAACAGTCTAGTTGGCAAAGAGCTATAATATAATACTTAAACTACGTACTTGGACTTCAGGGTAATGCGCCTGCTACATCATCATTATCAATATCATTATTATCATTATCATTATAGTGCCACAAGTACACATGCACATTTCACATGCACAAAGACATGTACATCCCTGGGCATGTGGACACAACTAAATCAATCTCTCGTCACATACTATAAGGTTAACGTACGTACGACACCCAAAACAAAATCCGCATCATTCAATTACAGGAAATGTCGTATCAACCAACCTATAGCTATATAACTTTCATTCCTAATCTAGATACACTTTCTACAACCCAACAAAACATGTACTATACTCTACATCCCCCAAGTCCCCAACCCGCCCAACCAACAAACCATCACGACGTCAATTTTCAAAAAGAAAACCTTCCAAAAAAAAGTATAGATATGTAAAGCCATATGCTCTTTCGCCCACCCTCACCCCATTTTTCTTCCGCATCATCCACAAGCGGTTTTCATGGAATGGTAAAGAACAGAAAATCCAACCCCACCTCTTTTTGCCCTCAACTCCATTTTAATTTCAACAGCTCACTCTGAATAATTAAATAACTCAAAAATAGAAAAAGGAAGGATGGGGCATGTGCAACGAAGATATATGCAATAAACAATCAATAACACACCAGAAAACATCCCAGGGAGCATCCCCCCCCTCTTGAATGCGAAATCTCCGTATCACCCGCCTCCTCCAACAATTCCAAACCGCCGTACGCCACAACTCCCAAAATTCTCAATTTCCCTTCATCCTCTGTTCTTCCACCCTCCTATCATACTCCTCCTCCTCATCCTCACTAGAATAATAAAAATGCTTCTGCGGAGTTTTCGGCCTCCTGATACTCGGCCCACGAGCTGCCCCCCTGGGAATGCCTCTCCTTTCATACTCCGAGCCCGCAACCTGCTCCTCCAAATCCCTCCACGCCTCCTGCTCCTCCAACCCAATCCATACATTCGCAGCCTCATTCTCCATCCACGCCTCCGCAGCCTCATTCTCCAACCCCGCCTTAACATCATCCTCCAAAATAGTTTCGTCCATAAGATTCGAGAATTCCGCTCTGATTTTCGCTGCGCGTTCCTCTTTGGTGAGTAATTTGGGGGGTCCTGATGGTTCCATTGCTTTCAGCTTTCTCGTTACCTTTTTTAAAAGGAGCTTCTTCCACGCTGCGCTGATCATTTGCTCCTCCCGCGCGGTTAGTTGTAGTACTGTTGTTTCCCCATTGGTCTTTCCATACGTAGAGCCGTAATTGAAAATTGAATTGTTGCCTCCGCGGGATGTGGAGAAACCATTAGTAAGCTCGCGAGACGTTGTGGGGAATCCAGAAGTGCCGTTTCCCCAGTCATTTGGTTCCCCGTAGTCTTCATCATCGGATAAAAACACCTTATCGCCTGCGCTGTAGAAATCCATGAAGAACTCAGAGGGCTGCTTATTCGTAGGCAACTGTTCTGCTACATTTGTCCCATTTGGTCTATTAACGGGTTTTGGGAGACGTAATGTTATTCTGGGCGCGGGTCTCATTGGTAGATCCGTTGGTCCAGTTCTATGTGACCTATCGAAATCGCCCAATGAGGACTCACCATTTTGATGTGCCGGGGACGCAAGTTCCTCAGATGCTGTGGGAGGTGACGGCTGAAATGGCTTTTTCAATGTCGCAAGAGCAGTGGGCCATGGGTTGAGAACCTCCATTGGTACGCTCTTTGATCGCCCTGACCTTCGCATCCATGAGGAATATTTCTCATCTCCATCCTCTGAAGGGGTTTGATATCCTGTTTTGAATGTAAGTCCATTTTCCCCTTCCTTGTCCAACCTCTGAAATGGATGAATTGGGGAAGCATTTTTATCCGGCTCTCTCTCTTTAGATTGAAGGCACAAGTCAAACGAGTCTTTGTAGTTTGTCTCCCCTCTCGTTCTAGGTCTCCTTCTCATTTCTGCTGCTGACCGTGCCCGACGAGGTGATGTTGAAGAAAAGCGTAGCGCCGCCCGAGATCTTTCTTTTATTGACTTCAGAAACTTTGCTCCCAGCCTTAAACCTCTCTCCCAACTTGACACAGTCCTTTGTGATGTGTGCTCGCCCGATGTGCTATTACGACCTGAGCCTAAGTCTTTGCACAATACGGGCGGGGGTATGTCTCCTTTTATCGGTGTTTTCCAACAAATGTTGTCTATCTTCATAAAGAATGACGAATTTTGTGACTTGTGGCTCTCAACATCTTTGCCCGACTTTTCAGACTCTTTAAAGCCTTCCAGCTTATCTTGCATGTTATCAAAAATACCTATATTGTCATGATCTGGGAGTTGCACTCTGAATGTTGCTTCCTGGTCACTTTCCCCTTGATTGCCCTCTCCTTCAATGTTGGCTGCTGGATTACCCTCGCTTTCTGCTGCATTATTTTGCTGTTCTTGGAGTGTCCCATTACCTTCGTTGTCCGTCATTTGAAGCGAATTTTGTGGACTTGAAACACTTCTACTACCTTGATCGCCGTCTCCTTGTAATCCTTCCTCCGAATTCCTTGCCATTTGCACTCGCCGACGGTTCGTTGGTGATGCACTTCCTCTTGAATGCTCCGAACTTCGAGATCTAGAAACTCGGCCTGGTGAGTGCATCGCCTGGCCTCGTCCTTGACTTGCTGGGGTGGATCTAGGTCGGATTTGTGGGAATTGTCTCAAATCCATTGTTGCTCGAGTTTGATTCATAACACCATCATTCACTGCCAATGAATGTAAAGGTCGATTAATTGGGGGCGAGAAATTTCGCGCCAGCGGATCTTCAGTGATAGGGCCGTCTGTCGTGGGTAAGATGCGGCGCCGAGGAGGGCTCGAGACTGGCCGAGGAGGTCGTCCCTAATTTTCGTCCTGCAGAGCTCTTCGCACCAAAGCCATTCCTCCTTCTTCCTGATATAGCCGCTCATGTTCTATAAGCCTTTCTTGTGATACAGTGGGATGTACTAGTGCCCAGTTTACACTAGTCCCAGTTCCATTTCCATTTATATTTCCATGTTCATTCCCATTTATATTCTCAGTTCCATTCATATGTCCATTTCCATTTACAATTCCATTTGCCGCATTACCTCCGGGAACCTGTCCCTGGGCTTCGTCCTGTACATCTCTTTCTATCTCATCTGCACTCCCATCATTTCGATCTGCGAAAGTACGCCCCGAGATTTGAGCCTGGGTTGTGGTTTGTGCGATATGGCTCCGACTCGTCCTGTTTCCATCCTCCCCAGCAATCTGTGATGAATTCTGCACCCGAGCCGAATTTTGAACCGTGTGTGCTGAAGGAGGGCCAGCGGATCTGGCCATCCTATTCTCTTCCCATGTCAAGCTACCAACCTATGGTAAAGTCTGTGGATTGATCAATGGTGTGCCTAGTTCCGTGCAAGATGTGTGCTTCTTCCATTCTGGACTATCTGTTTTATTTCTCTTGTAACTGCTATCCCAACAAGAATACTCCCCCAGAGTTGATCTACCCCGTTTTCTCGATCCAGGATAATGGCCATTTCTAGTTTCTCTGTTGAAGTGAGAGGTTCCGGCCATCGAACAATTATTTTTAGGGGTGAGTACTTGATGGAATAGATTCTGATAATTTAGAGAGCGGATCTTTTCGTCGGTAGGAAGAGGATTGAGAGCTATGGCAAACTAGTAGAGTATCTTGGTTGTAGATATGAGTGTGAAAGTTTGGGCGTTATATTTCTTCCTCCGTGATGGTGTGGTATATGTGGGCAGTGGATGTCGAGGTTATGGTGATGGTGTGCTCATTTTTAAAGATCATGAAGGCTTGCTCGACATGTCTTTAGAGCACGAGACTACCTACCTAAGTAGTCTTTAGTACGCCAGCCAATCGCCGTTTTAGGTAGTACCCTGTATGTGCGAAGTTGTTGCCTCGTGATCTGGGCATGGAACTACCAGGTAGGTACATCCTGGTAAGTGGGTAGTGAGGTTGAGAATGGCTGGGAACTGTTCTCGTGCGCTGGGAACAGCCACTTATACCGTAAAATCATTATATAATGAACATGTGAATTCATCACGTGGAAATCCGTCATGGTGTAGTGGCTAGCATTTCAGACTCTCAAACAGAACTCTGAGAACCCGGGTTCAATTCCCGGTGACGGAACAAAACAAATCTTTTTGCCTTTTTTTTTTATTTCATGTCATATTGCGAAGCTTTGGGACTCGAGACTGCTTTGGAACTGTTTCTAGCACGAGAACTCTGGGCACGAGAACATACGAAACATGCTCTGGTAAACCTTCACATACTTGGGCGAAACTTGATACTTGAATTGCGAACCATTTTGATTCACGGTGCACTCCAACACGAATAATGCCAAGCACCACCACACAGCAGCCAGATATCTGGACATGCTTGAGCCCGAAGAACCCTACCGCCCGGTGCACCTCTCAAGACTACAGTCCATCTTCCTTCCCCATTCCATTCCAGCGATCATCCACCACCAGAGAACACCCAACCAACCCGCAAACAATCTATCTACCATGCAACGCAGTCACTATCACCATCGGCTTGATCCTCAAATCGTATCCACCCAGACCATCCAACAGCCGACCGTAACGGTAATCACAACCAAGTAGCCTCGCCTTCAGGGAATGGTAGATTTGGGAGGGCATTGCGATGTTGAACGCAGAATCGCTTATATGAGCAGTATTCACCACCATTAGGCTACCCCTCCCGAAAAATGGGAACTCGGATTGGCAAAAAATATGAACAGTTAAATATTCATGATACCCTCCTCCGCGAAACCGGCCTCTCGGGATCCCCAGTGCTGAAATCCCGAGTTCTCTTCACACTATCGGCTGATCCTCGCCTGCTCAAATCCCCTCCACCTATGCTCGCCGCCTCGGATTGTGTCTGGTTGCGCCCTTCGGCCAAAATCCTTTCGAATTCCTCGATAAACCCATCACGAGCGCCATATTCCTTAATCTTTCCCAAAATCCGATGAAGTCGCTCTGATTGCCGGCCAAGAACATCGATAAGTCCCCACATTACACTCAGAATAAAAAAACCATCTTCGACATGTGGCCGAGGTTGATGTGGCCGTATTTGTGATGAACCGGATACTGCCACCCCATTATACATCATCCCTCCTCGATGTGCCAGATGAAGGCCTTCTCCTCCATTTTCCCCAATTAGGCGAGTATATATCCCCACCTTTTTTCTGTTGGAAATCCGCTGCCTGGCTCTTGATGCCTTGACTTCCACGATTTGTTGGTCTCCGGAATCATCTCCATCTTCGGCCGCTCCTTTCTCCACAACGCCCCATAAGATGCGAATCAGACTTTGCAATGCCTGCTCCTTTGCTGTTCTGCCAAGCGGGCCCCTCACCCTCAGATGCCTGTGTATCGTACTTACCCGCCTCTTTAGAGCCTTTTCACACCAAACTTCGTCTGGGATGCACATTTCTTCATCCTCAGCTAGGGAGTCGCTCCCACTTACTCTGCTGGGGAATTCAAAGAATGATGGCCCTGAAAAGAGATAATCCGAATGTCTCCCCAAAATGAAATAGGCCTGTTTTTCAATACGCTTGAAAAAACTAATTGCACAATATTCTGGTGGGACAGCATCCCTTAGTATCTGGAAAAATGCCGGATTCGATACCGCTAGGCCATATATCGTTGCCGGTAATGAAGGATTCGATGCGGGATGTAAAAGTGTGGAGAGGCTCATGTCATCATGTGGATTCTGAAATGAGGCAGATAATTCGGATGTATTCGAATTTGTATGACTTGAGCTGGCACTGAATGTTGAGAGGATGTCGGCAATCTGGTCTTCTACCCTGAAGATTGGAGCTCCTTGTGTGGCAACACCCGCTGATACCCTCGATTGTGGGTGTCCCGTGCCAATATTTGATCGATATTCGAGAGGCGGCTCAGAGGATTCGAAACTTTCAACTTTTCCGCTCCAAGTACCTTCTGCTCCGGATTGAGTCTCGGGGGCATTTGTCCCCCTCACAAGACCGGTGGCACGGGGCCCAGGTCCAAAATCTACCCTTCCCTCGTTCCTCACTTCGGATCCAAGTGGCCGTGGGGCCCCTTTCTGAGAAGGTCCATTTGATGGTGTGTTTTGATTTTGCAGCATGCCAGAGGTTGCCTGGGGGTTACCTAGGTCCATTTTTGGCCATGCGGACATTCGTGGGCGGTCATGAGAAAACTGTTGATGGTTTTGTGCTGTATTCGAAGCTGAACTCTCTCCACCTTGGGAGTACGCTTGGTAGCTGGATCGTTGGCTTTCTAACATTGGTTGAAGTGACATTGATTGCCGGGGATGCAAGGGTTGTAGGTCGTATGATGGCAGGCTTGGTGGATGTGTGTTTTTGATTGTTGGATGCTGATACCCTTGGATCTGGTAATGTGAGTGATACTCGCCCTGATGGCTAGGAAATGGAATTGCAGGCATTTTTGAATTTGTGTCCAGATTTCGAACGTGGGATTCAAGTTCTTGAAGTAGTGCGTCCTCCTCATTTTCTGCCATCCGTATATGCCAGAGGCATATGAGCGCTAATTATGTGCTGTATGTGGATTAGGTAGGCTGTAACCCAAAGAACTACCCAGAATTGCTCATGCGAACATGAACGAAACTTAGCCCTGCGACTGTTGATGGGATTAAGCTCTCTCACTGTATAAGCTTTTCCTATCTGGTTATGTGTTTCCAAGCTCTTCAAGGAGTCTCCGACACCGGCGCAGACCCTTAGTTTCTCTATCCTTACAGCTTGAAAATTTCTGTGGCAGAAATCAGATAATAAATGCCCTACGCGCAGTAGCTCATCACCTTGCGATGGCTATTCATTCTACTCTAGTCTTAGGCTCAAACCCCAGTCCGGACATCCCGACTCGGCAAGAAAAAGGGTTCATAGACGGCACATGGGTAGATGACGTTTCCAATTCGTCTGGTCCTCACCACACTTGAACCTCATGAAGATGGCCTCCGGGAGTTCACTTCAATCGCTTGCCCCGAGGACCCTGTCGCCAACATCGTTGACTTACAGCATACCCTTTAAAGTGGCAACTTTGGAAAAATCACAGCATGTGAGACATGCATATCAGCATGGTTGGATGGAAAGATACAAGATACAAACATCCATTGAACGATATTCAAGGTGGATATTAGTTTTATCCAACGGGCGGTACTTGGGTTCGCTTCATGGAGGGGGCGACTCAAATCATTTATACAACGGTGCTTCGTTGGTTGACTTTGCAGGATAAAAATTTGTCACCAAACCTTCCCGGTTTACACCTTCGGCCATGCCGAGAACTCCTCAGGGCGGTCTTAGCGCAGGACAAACCACTTGGTAGCTTCAACAACACATTACCTCGACCTGGAGTAGGTCGATGGCACGAGACTGAGTAGGTGTACTCGAGCACTCAGCAGCATCTAAGGTTGGCTCTCATTTTGCTAATGGAGCCTTTAAAGCCTTGACAGAGCACTAGCACAAAGCAAACTCCGATATAATTTTCGGTCAAATATTTTTCTAATCTAGTGAGACCAAATACTGATCATCATTACTTACGGCACTTAAGGTAGGTATTGCTCTCTGGTAGCGCGAAATTCTGAACGCCACGGAGAATATTTATCTGATCCAGGAATTAAGACGAAAAAGGCGGCATTATTATCTTATGCCTTCTACATGGATCACCTTTCGGGACACTCGGAATTGCCGACGCCCGGAGACGCCGAATATCAAAATACACTCTAATAATGTTGAACAAAGCGCAACAACTGCCATGTGGAGACTATGCCATGTGTACAAACAGCAATACATACACAGTCATTAAGTAAGCTGCTCTATGGATCACAAATGGCGATCTTTTAACAACCAGTCGTCAATGGACAACGATTAGGGAAGCGATGCGGGATGTTCCCTGCCTGTGGTGGGGTAGAAGCAAGCCACCTTTAATTGACCAGCCTAAGCGAATAAGGACGAACTTCTCTTATCCCACTATTTTGTGTTAACACCCTCATACCCCACTTGCTCCATAAGCAATTATGATCAGAAGCTCCCCAGCTAGTTATGCTCAGAATCGACAAAATTAATTCGCTGATCAAAAAGTGTTACCACCTCTGATTACTATGGGGTTGCCGAGATGGTCGTGTACTGCGTCTGTGTGCAGACATCAATGCAGATGTACATACACAACAAGACCATTCACGGCCATGCCGAGGCGAAAGTCTCGCCAGAAACTTTAACAACATATATAACCCCGCTGTATCCTGGAAACACTATAGAAGACGATGTCCGCCTATGGCTCCCTAAGTCAGGTAGCTTGTCGGGGGGTCCGGAACCTTTGGCCCCCCCCTTGTCTTTTCGAAGAGAACCACCTCCAAGATGAGCACAAAAAAGCAACCTCCACTCTCTACCTTTGCCCAAGGAAAATGAGACGTAACTTATCTCAAATCCTTTGCTTCTTTTTCCTTCCCGCCACTTTGGACCATGAGACTAACTTCGGACTTTGGCAATGTTGTCACCACAATAGTGGCAACCTTTACAACCAACAGAATAATCATATGATCACATATGTACTTAAGGTAGCGGAATCGGAGCATCCAGTAGTTCCGGATCTGACCGATGATCTGATTGCAGATCTTATTTTTGGGTCGGAGGACTAACGTACTCGATCGGTAGAGTGAATAATTTCACGGATAACTAGCAGTAAGGCGACAAAAGAATTGCAAGGACCTCCGGGACGGCCGTGGAGATACCAGGGCATCCCCTAGCGGATTTGGTCGGTCGACGTCGGTAGATGGAATCCTTCTACTCGTACTTTTACCATTCTATGCCTGGCCAGGGTGGGGTCTGCTACGTAAGAAGTAGCTTGTATTGAATTGTTCCAAGATGGCTTATCTTTATCAATTATGATTTTTCATGGCGAGCACCCCACATCAATATCGCCACTTGTGGAAACCACGCCACGTGAATGCCTTTATCGATACCAGGTTGGGCTTTGTAGGATTCAGAGAGGGATGTCATTGTATGGGAATATACAGTCTGCAGGCTAAGTGCGGATATATCAAGGCTTCGATGGTCCAACGGTAGGATAATTGCCTTCCAAGCAATTGGCACGGGTTCGACTCCCGTTCGATGCACGTACTTTTTGCCCCCTTTT